ATTCGTGTTTGGGCGCTGTGTTTGGTGGTCCCTATGTAGACTTGTCCACAGCTGCATGGTACACAGTAGACTCCTGCAGAAGCGAGAGGATCTCTCTTGTCCTTTGCTGAATGTAGCATTTGTTGGATTTTCTTGGTGGGTCTGTAGATTGTTTGTATGTTGTGTTTCCTCATCAGCTTCCCTATGCGGTCAGTGGTTTCCTTGATGTATGGCAAGAACACTTTTCCTCTGGGTGGATCTTCGTCTTTACTCTCGTGGCTTGTTCTTGGTCTTGCAGCTCTTCTGATGTCTGAGGTGGAGTATCCATTGGCCTGTAGAGCCCAGTTGAGGTGGTTCAGTTCATCTTGAAGGAGGTGGGATTCGCATTTGCATGGTCTGCCAAGGCTTTAAAGGTGCTTTTTTTTTTGACTTGGGTGGTGGTTGGAGTTTTTATGTAGATATCTATCTGTGTGTGTGGGTTTTCTGTAAACGGTGTGACCCAATTGTTGATCTGGTTTGCGGATGACTAGGACATCTAGAAAAGGTAGTCTTCCTTCATTTTCTTTTTCCATGGTGAATTGGATGTTTGGATGGATGCTGTTAAGATGGTCCAGGAACCTGCTGAGTTCTTCTTCTCCATGGCTCCAAATGGCAAAAGTGTCATCCACATATCTGAACCATATAGTGGGCTTTTTTGTTGCTGTTTCCAGGGCTTGTTGAACCACCTAAACTGGGCTCTACAGGCCAATGGATACTCCAACTCAGTGGATGGATACAACAACCCCGATGGATACAACAACCCAGTGATTCCGGCCATGAAAGCCTTCGACAATACAATGGTTAAAAGCATTGTGGGAACTGACTATTGCTTGTCCAATCGCACAAAACCCTCCGTTTTGATGTCAGTGATCCTGCTGGTAAATAAGAAAAATAGATCCATCTCTATCAAAACCCTGCACTTAAATTATAAAGGAGGTGGATTACTGTAGCTGGTAAAACCATTAATGGACTGATTGCATGAGATAATCTAAGGCTAAAGTTGAGTTACATCATAGTGTTGTGTCACACTGGGAAAAAGATGCATATGAAAATATATTGGGAAATAGTTTTCAAAGGGAAAACATGGCAAGAAGGTGGTGGTGGTTATGATTAACAAGGCTCACTGTTAACTTCACTTGCAAATAAATGCTCTGTTTTTTGTGTGATGTGTAGGTGTCTTCTACTTTAATTTTGTTATTTCTGGAAACCTTATGTGTTGCCTCAAGTGTACCAATGTGAGGTTTAGAAATGCTTAGGTCTAGGATGCTTTTTTTTTAAACTAGAGAAGTAATTTTAGTTTACAGTGATGCTTTCGTGACTGTATTGTGAGTGAGTCCCAACATCAATCCTTCTTGGAGCAGACCTCTTGTGATGAAGGTGACTTCTAATGTGTATGCATATGTGCCTTCAAGCCACTTGTCCATTTATGGTGACCCCATAGATTTCATAGGGTTTTCTTAGGAAATGAAGATTCAGAGGTAGCTTTAACATTTATTCTCTAAAATATAGCCTACCGCAGTTGGTACTTGGTGGTCTCCCATCCAATAGATAACCAGAGCTGGCCTTGCTTAACTTCCAAGATAAGATGTGAACTTGTACCTTCAGGGTATTTAGAAATAAAATATTAGACTATGCTCTAAACCTTATGAATGTTTCTTAAATGCAGAGCACAGATATATCTACTAATGACACCGGTTCCCAAGTTCCATGGGGATATATTAGCAAGAAAGATGATGTGAGAAGGAATATTAAAGGTTAATAATTCATACAACAATTGAAAATTCAGTATCTTGTGTAAAGTTATTTTACAGTCAAAATGTATAAATTCGACTTCTGTTTGAACTGATGGCTATTAGACCCTTTGGATGGTATGGAAAGAAATCTTACAGCCTTTAAAAGATTAAAAAGTATATCACACTTTTTGCATTATGCTGTTTATGGAAATAGGGTATGAATACCGAATAAACCTGGGGGATTATTCTCTTCGGCAAAAAGCCCTAACCTTCCTTAACCCATGTCAAAGAGGCAGAATCACTACAAGCTTTTACAGAATATTTGATGAAGATCCCTCCTAGACTAACTTTCACAACTTTAAATAATTTATTTGAAACCTCTTGCCAAACATTTTGAGAAGGAAACAGAGGCTGGCACAATCGTTCTTTTGATTATTGATTTATTACCGTAGGCATCATCCAACCTCACCTTGGGAAGAAACATTTAGGTATAAAACTATAGTGCCTCCCACATAGCAGATAATGTTTCTGGCATGAGGTAGAAGGGCAATTTAAAGAAATGTTTTACTTTGTTTCTATGTTAGTAAGGGATACTTTGAATAATTTTGCTTTTGAAATCCTGAGAGAGATGACAGGTTTGTATATTACAAATTAGTTCTGATGTTTGTAAACAATGACTAGTGGGTTGTGGCAGTACAGAACCCTTTAATGTAGAGTAAGATATCTGAGGTCCCTTCTACACTGCCATATAAAATCCAGATTATCTGCTTTGAATTGGATTATATGGCAGTGTAGACCTCACCTGGGAGACTATGTCCCTCTGTGGGCATCACAACTCAAGGAAGATATTGACAACCTGGAATGTGCCCCAAATGAAACAAGGTTTGAAAACCATGCCCTGGGAGGAGCAGCTTAGGAGCTGGGTATGTTTAGCATGGAGAATAGACGATTACAAGGTGATATTATTGCCATGTTTAAATATTTAAAAGGATGTTATACTGAAGATGGTGCAAGCTTGCTTTCTGGTGCTCCGAAGATTAAGAAAGGGAGCAATGTATTCAAACTACAAGAAAGGAGATTCCAACTGAACTTTAGGAACAACTTCTTGATAGCAAGAACTGTTTAACCAATCAGAGATTAGTGGATTTTCTTTCTCTGTAGCTTTTTAAACAGAGGCTGGATAGCAGGCCCGTAGCCAGGATTTCGTTTCGGGGGGGGGGGGGGGGGGGGGCTGAGTCTGAGTGAAAGAGGGTCTAGCCTAGCAAACCTTTTGTATCATTACCCCAATACCCCCATGCATATGGGATATATTGAGTATGGTGATCAGTTCATGATATGAATAAACATAACAGTTTAAATAATGCACCAATAAGGCCTTTTCGCAAACCACCATGAAAATTTCGGGGGGGGGGCTGAAGCCCCCCGAGCCCCCCCCCCTGGCTACATGCCTGCTGGATAGCTATCTGTCTAGAGTGCTTTGATTGTATTCCAACACAGCAGGAAGTTGGACTGGATGTCCCTGGTGGTCTCTTCTGTTTCTATGATTCTGTATTTAATATTTTTTTTCATTGAAATCATTTCAACCTGTAATGAGTTTTTAAATTCAGATTCACACTGATTTTTTTTAAAAAAACAATGTTTTCATATTTGGATGTGAGCTATGAAAAAGCCAATATACTACAGAAATCATACTTTCCACATTTGTCATCTTGAAAGACTACAGCTGTTATCATAATCTATTGTTTACACTCCATTTTTTCCATAGCCCACGTTTGAATATTTTTCTTGGGAACTGAACAGGAGACAATTTAGAATTCAAAGAAAGCATGACACAATAAATGTTCATCTTTCTTGGATGACTGTTTGAAGCTGCCACTGCACAAAATCACCCATTTACACACCTATCCCACAGGAATCAAATGTTGGCTCTCGAAGCAGAGTGTTACATATTAGCTGATGCTATTCAGCAGAAGATGCTATCCATTTGGAAACAGGTTACCTGAGGTCACTCAACATATGCTATGGACTATAACTCCAAGATCCCCTGACCTCTTAAGAGTTGTTCATAAATGAAACTTTTATGAATTCTTGGTAGCCAATAGTCTTCTGTAGTCTTTCACAATATCTAGAAGTCACTGATTTCTCACACCCTGCAGACAATACAGTTGATCAGAATCACATAAAATTACTGTATTCAGTAGCAATGCTGAATCTACAACTGGCAGGGTCAAGACTCATGAACTCAAGGTTTGAATAAGGAGTAAGCACATAGGTAAATCTCACTGATTAAAGGTGACTAATAGTAGGATTTAGGCTTATATAATACAGTATAATGCCTGTATCTGCAGGGATCTGTGACAGGACTTTGCAAAATTATGGGCAATAGAAAATCTTATTGAATGAACAACTTCTGGAGGAAACATACAACAGAGTCACACTGGAGAAATTAGGAAATGCCTAGATATGATAAGTCTCTAGGTATCACTAGGTTCTCCAGTGCTACTCTATGGTCAACATTCATCAAAAGTATATCATAGAATCACCTGGAAGACCTAGAAAATGTTTACAAAGGATATATTTTGTCAGAAGCAGTTGGTCCCAGTAATAATACTTTATTATGTTCTCCCATTATATCCAACTGGATGTAAACTTTCAATAATCACAAGCAGCTAGCATTGTGTATTAAAGACATGTACTTGTTACAAGAGCTTCCTTCAGCGACTTTTCAGTCTATATTCTGCAAAACTAGAATATTTATTTGTGAACCAAACTGTTCTGGGTAAATAATAATGTTTCTTTTTATCTGCTGAAACCAATCTTTGTTTTTGCCAAGTGGAGACTGATACTCTCAGTGCCAAGCTAAGTGCCCTTGTCAAAATATAGCCTACAATATTTGATGTTGACTTGCAGCAGAGATATTTTGGCAGAGGATTACATACTCACCTAGACCAAGTTGGGTATGAGGCCCTTTTTCTGGCATGAATGCGTATTGGGACACATCCAACAGGCATAATATAAAGATGCAGAGTAAATAAAAATTCTACGTGTTGAGTTTCTTCCTGCATTTCTCTCAGAAAAAGAAAATGGCAGCAAGCCTTGGCATATATATTTCTGGTGATGTGCCATTGCTACTGCAGAATTGAAACATGCTCTTAATAAGTACCTTAATTGATGAATGTTGGTGAAATACACATATATAGTAAAATGAAGGTAAACTCTTATTAATGCTATTCCTCCCTTTTTATGCAGGGTGGATTGCTATGCTGGGAGCAATATGGCTTCTTGTGTTAGCCAACATTCATGATTTTGAGATGATTCTGAACAGAGTGGAATGGGCAACACTCCTTTTCTTTGCAGCACTATTTATCTTAATGGAGGTAAGAAGAATTTTTAGAAGTCCCTTTAATTTTTGCCTCCTTAATTTAATACAGGTGCAAGAATGAGCATGAGATAGTAGGTCTTGCTTGGAAGGTGAGACTGCAAAATGCCATTAGAGTCAGCCATACATATCCATGAGTTCTGCATAAACCACCACAACTTGAAAATATATATTTTTAATTCCAAAAAGCAAACCTCAGAGATGTTTGCCATTTTATTTAAGAGACACAATTTAACTACACCATTGCATATAATGGGACTTGAGCATCCACAGATTTCAGTATCCACATGTGTGTGCGTGTGCGTAGAACCAAATTTTACCAGATGCAGAGAGTCTACTATATGTTTAAATCACAGTTGCATGGAATCTCTCCTTCTCAGAAAAGATTTTTGATTCAAGTACAGGTTGAGTATCCCTTATCTGGAAATCTGAAATTTAAAATTGTCCATATGGATAGTTGAGAAACTGACACCTTTGGTTTCTGATGATTCATTCAGTCTACACAAACTTTGTTTTATGCACAAAATTTTTTACGATGTATGTAAAATAAACCTTCATGTTTAGGTTGGGTAACATCTCCAAGGTCCCATCTACACTGCCATATGAAACTGCATGATATGGTCAGTGTAGACTCATGTAATGAAATTTAACTGCATTGAACTGCATTATATGAGTCTATACTGTTCATATCATGCAGTTTCAAATTGCATGATATGGTAGTGTTGATGAGTCTCAAAAAACCTCATTATGTACATGCAAATATCAAAAAACAAAACAAAAAATAAATCTGAAATCCAAAACAATGTTGGTCCAGTGCACTTTCCATTTTCAGTACTTAGTGTAGTCAGTCAATTTTACCTTCCATCATCTTTATTTAGAGAAAAAAAACTTTAAACATGTCTCAGGATCATTTTTTTCAATATTTCACATAAGCTATGGGCTGCAGAAGACCTTGGGAAAATATTCCTGTACTATCAAGTTTCTATTGTTAAAGATTTGGCTTGCTTGCAAAAATTTGAAAAACATATTGAATGTGAAATTTCATCTTGCCTTATGAGAATATGGAACGAGGATAAGATCCAGGCTAATTGAAAACCAGTCACTTCTAGTTCAGAAACTTTGGTTATCCCTGGAAAGTTCTCCACATTTTTCTGTTTGTTTTTGATACACCAGTGCCAGGAATATACCACTGAAATAATAGATCTCATAGGATCAAAAAGTTGGAAGAAAGCACCGGGGATATCTAATTCCCTGCCATGTATGAATGCAGAATAAAAGCACCTTTCCTGGTGCAATGTTTTTTGTTCATGCTGGAAGACACTTTCTCATTATGGAACATAGTGAATAATTAAATACATTCATTTAAAAATGATTTACTCATCGTATTAAAATTAATTTTTAATTAATTAATTTAATGAATGACATTAAGTTTAGTTTAACCTCTTTTAGTATTCTGTGATTGCACTTGAAAAGTTATAAAACAAATCAAAACCTTTTCTGAAACTCCAGTCTACTTTTGGAAATAACACTGGCCTTGTTTCAGTATTCTGAAACCTCTGTAAGGAACAGGTGATCAGCATGGATGTTGTCTTCTTGTCTTATTGGGGGGGGGGGGAAGACTCCTAGGACACTTCTGCCCAAGTTCATCAATGGAGCCCTATGCTGCCCATCAGATGACATAGGGTGAGTTCCGGTGGGGTTCAGTGGGTGAAGTGGGGTGGCAGCGTGGAAGGATGCTGCCACTGCCATTATGGAAGCCTCCCTGTGTTCTGTAAGGCTTCCGTGGGCATCAGCTGCATGGCAACACTTCCCCTTATGTGATGGGGAGGCGCCAGCTGTGGTGCCAGGATTGGCTCGCTGCTGCCCAGATTTGCCACAGAGGCTGGCAAATGACTATGCTGGACCTCATCCATGTGATGAGGTAATTAATTTTCTATAAACTTACAGGAATCCAAAGCCAGTCAATATACGGAGAAAGCAGCAACCTGTAGTTCCAGGACCCAACAAGAGAAAGGGCAGCGGCAAAGACCCAGGCACGAATCCAACACTTTGCCTCCTGCAAAGTCCCATTACTCCAGTGCCTACATTTATCTTACAACTCATTATCTGTTGATGAACTGTCCCTCGCCCTTTCCTCATCACTATCAGGTGCTCTAGCCACCACAGCTGAACGCCAATGCCCCTCTTGCCAGCTTTTCCATTTCCTATCAAGACTTAGGTCTCCCCATGTATCACCAGATTGCCAGTCCCCAGAAAAACCCTCAATAGTATCACTGGACGTAGGTTGTGTACACACATCTCTAACTTCTTGCACACGAGTCCAATCCAACCCACCCTCCTCCTTGTCACTACTCCCAGACTCATCACTTCCAATGAAGCCCATAAAATCTTCTTCTTCAGTTGGAGCAGTAAGTATATCACGGATCCGTTTCCTCTGACGCTCTTCATCAAAATCCTGCTCCCGAGTAATCCATTTTACACCCCTGCTTTCATCTCCTTCCTCCTCCATTTCTCCTTCTGAGAAACCCTCAAATGAGTTATCATCTGTAGGAGTCATGAATATCTTCCTAACTCTCTTTCTTTGTTGCTCCTCATCCAAACTCTGAGCACCTCTCTTTCCTCTTCTACTACTCCTATCGTCAGTGGTAACGTAACTAGGACACTCAACTACAACAATATGTCAAGCTTATTTTCCATTAATCCATCATAAAAATAATTGTAAAAAACAAACCAATCCTACATTCAAGCATATTTAAAATGTATTTCTATATCCAAGTGAGGATTTGGCCTCTGGTCTCCAGGTCATAGCCCAACAGTAAAACTACTATATCACACTGGCTCAATAGTCAGTTCCTGTTAATAATAATGGCAGGGTTTTTTTTTTTTGAAAAGGTAATTTCATCTCTAATATAAACAACAAGAAGATTAGGATACTGAGTTCTTAAATCTAAATACAAAAACAAACATTGAAATGGCGTAAATCCTCCACATCTCTCTTTTCTCCCAAAATGAAACCTAAAATAGCTAGGTGGATGCCCTTCCCAATGCAAGCAGCAGAATGAACAATGTAACCTCTTTTGTCAGAGTATCACAGGTGGGGAAATAATGGCCTTTAGATGTTGAATGTAGAAATATTACACAAGTTAAGCATAGGGATCATTTATTTTATTGCTAGCATTCTTCTATCGTTAGATCTCGCTGGAATCATCTGTCTTGGCTATGCAGTCATTATTTTTGGCATTTTTGCTAGTTTTAGAATAATATGTACAGGTGACATTTCCTTTTGGAAAATACTGATCTGGGAATGGGATAGAAATTTCTTGTAAGTGCTGGAGGTTTCCCAGAAGCAGGAAGGGGATAACCTGAAGTAGATTGCAAATGAACAAATAAACCGAAAAGGGCATGAGAAAAAATCCCATTTTTAGACCGGCTAGGGCTGATGAGAGTCTAAAAACTTAAGAAGAGCAACTGCTGCAGAGGATCATTACATTCCACTAGTATGGGAAAGCATACAGGTAAAAGCACTTCCTGTGCTTATTCAGCCAAGTGAGTCAGGCTGATATTAATCATAACAGCGGAAGTCTTACAGCATCTTACTTTTCTACCCAGCATGAGAAAAAAACATATTTAGATATTTCTGTCCATTGTTTTAGAGTTGCCCTTACCTCTGAATATCTTCTCCAAATCTAATTTTCCCCTCAGTGCTTTGACTACACAGCCTTTTGCCTCTGCGGAGATTGTCCCTCCAGCTGAGCCACACTCATTCCTTTCAGCCAAAATGTTTTTCAAATGTTCTGCTTAGATCTGATTGCTAATGGTTCCCAGTTGTGGTGTTGTTTTCAAAACCATGCCTTGCTGAACATTATTCACTCTCTGACTTAACAGCGAAATAGAGAAAGAAACTTCAGCAGGTTGGGACTGCTGGGAATTAAAGTTATTTTGGAAGTAGTTATTGTTAGAAATATCTGTCTTGCATATCTATCTTTCACACTACTTTTGACATGTTTGCTCTTTGTTTTCTGTACTTTTCAGCTATTTGCTGGAGTGAAACAAATTTCCCATCTACACTGACATTATAATGCAACTGGAGACTGGTTTGGGAGAAACCAGTCTTGCTGCATGGATGAATAGATTGACAGGTCTGGAACTGGATTGAGGCCAGGTGGGTGATTACATTCACCATGGACCTGGCTGCAAACCATTCTGAGGGGATTTTCCTCCCATTTCTGGGAGAGATGTGCATCAGCGCTACAGAGGCATAAGAGATAAAAAAAAAAGGAAGGTGTCAGTTAGGACTGGAAATAATTAATTATCCCTCCCTGAGTGCTATGTAGCCCCCTGATAGCCAACCATGCCCTTGGGGCATTTTCCGGCAGCCTCCTTGCTCCCTCTTCCAACTTCTATAAAGTGCTTCAGCAAGGATGGGTGTCTACAATACACTCTCCATTCAGTGGAGCTGATTTCATGCTGACATGTGGGATACACTGGGATCTGCTGCTGGGTCTTAAGTCTTAACTTAGACTTTTCTGTAACTTTATTTAATGCACTATAGACCCTTAAACCCATGCTGCAGCATTCATTGGTGGTGTGTTTTGGCTGCCATTGTTTTGCGTTGTCTTGGATCTACCTTGTAGAGTCAGTAGATGCATCCAAGTGAATTGCTGCCAGCCAATGTTTTCTGGAAAACTCATTGTTAAGGGCACACATTGTTGACATTTAGAACTTTATTAGATTAGCATTTTAAGGCAGGTACTCCCATATTTTTAGTGTTTTTTTTACCTCTTGCAGAATTCTGGGAAATGTAGTTTAGGACAGGACCTTTACAATTCTTGGCTAGAGAGATCCTCACATTCCCAAACTGCACTTCCCTGAAGTCTGTACGAGGCAGAAGATCCCAAAAATATAAGGGTACCCACTTTAAAATGATAGTCTGATAAAGCACATAGAGGCAATTTTGATCTGCTAGGCTACAACCTCTTTGTTCAGGCAGGCTTTTAAAGATGAAGGTTTTTAAAGATCAATTCACGGGGTGCTGTGTTTTTAAACTTTGAATATTTTAATGGTTTTTAACTGGGAATTTTAAAATACTATTTATATTTAATTCTGTTTTAATGTTTGCATATTTGTATATTTTAAATTGAATGCTGATGCTTTTATGTTAAACTGATTTGAGTCTCCTGCAGGAGGGATAAAGTGGGGTATAAATATAATAATAATAATAATAATAATAATAATAATAATAATAATAATAATAATGGTGTTAAACTTGCATTTCTGGACTACAACTTCCATAATCTGTATCGAAAGTCACCAGCAATCTTGTTCACTGGAGATGAGAGAAGGCATAGTCAAACATGTCCCCAGGGTACCACAAAATATACATTTCCATATATTAGGAGGATTTAGCATGAAATAATAGTTCCCCAGCTCTGGTGAAACACCAGTGAAGGGGACCTAAATAGCTGCATAAAATCTATGAACTTTTTTTTCGTGTCAGGAGTGACTTGAGAAACTGCAAGTTGGTTCTGGTGTGAGAGAATTGGCTGTCTGCAAGGACATTGCCCAGGGGACACCTAGATGTTTGGTGTTTTATCATCCTCGTGGGAGGCTTCTCTAATGTCCCCGCATGGGGAGCTGGAGATGACAGAGGGAGCTCAACCCACTCTTTCCGGATTCAAACTGCTGACCTATCAGTCAGCAGTCCTGCTGGCACAAGGGTTAACTGATCCACTTTTACATGATCAACATATGAAAAAAGATTTTAATTGGCCTCAATTGGATGCACCTCAACATTTCTCCATAAAAGTGAGAACCACTCCAAAGTAATACAAATTATTTTGACACATGAAATAGAATATCTCACAACAATTTCTCTAAATGTGACAATTAAAATACAGTAACAATAAAAATATGTTTTCTTCCCTTTCATGACATCATTATTTCTCAGACTTCATTGGACAGGGCAGGCTATAATATACTGGCCCAGAGAATAAGTAATTGGAATTGGTCAGGGAGCATTGTGGAAGACTTTGGTATGATTTTCCAATTGAATATTAGATTTTTATGAGTGATTTGAAGTAGTGTAATAGGTCCTAGAAGAGCACTGATTTTTAAATGTGTTTGCATTATTACCTTTTGATTAACTCTGGTTCCCAGCTCAGGAAATACAAATAAATGTATTTTCTGCCATGATTACTAATCTTTTAACTTTTCTTGCTATGTTTCATTTGTTGTTGATATGAGCTGACTGTTGCAACTTGTTTTGTGACTTACTTATGCAAAGAAGGGTATTTACAGTTACTCAAATATCTGTTATTTTCTGGCTTGCATCAAATCAACAGCTTTATTGCATATTTATTTATCTAGGGCACAAATTTAAAAGTTTTAGTCAATTTATCACTAAATTCTTGCTATGATTCATGCCATTTTCCCTCAAATATTAACATGTCATCTTGTCTAATGAGATGAAAACAGAAGCAAGGCAAGAATTCTCTTAACCCACATTAGTTGAGGCTCTTAAATGAACACTGATGCTCTAATTAAATTAACTTTACATATAAGTGCTATTATAATACAAGCCCTGTGTTAAGGTCATGTTGAATGAATCACATTCTGTCATTATAACCACAAATTAGGAATGGAGACAGGATGTCTCCATATTTAGAAAATTGATAAAAAATTGTTTAAAGCTAGACCATGTCAAAGAAGTTGGTTTGAGGATGCTCTGTGCCAGTTTTGAGCCAGATATGAAATGGTTTCGTTGGAGGGTCTGAAGATTTGACAGCCGATTTCTATTTTTGTTCCATAAAGTCTGCTGAGGTTAGATGTGCTAGCAAATTTCCCAATTATTAATGTCTTTCATGAAACAGTTTGCTGCATTATGTCAGATTGTTTTAGTATATGCTGTGCAAGGTATTTGAAGTCTTTATTCTAAACTCAACATTTGGCCCTTTTTAGATTACAAAGTTCCTAAAGTTTATTTAACTTATATTTGGTTATGTGAGAAATATGTGGAGAAGAATATAGGCTGATAAAAAATGTAGGTGGTTACTTGGAAGATGAGAGAGAAGGCTTACCAGATGCAATCTACTTTTCTTCAATAGAAGATTTTAGAAGAAATCTAAATTACTCATTGGAAGGAGAAATTCCTTGGAAATAAGGGGGGAACATTACACTTGAACAACTGAATTCATTCTTACTGGTGTTGAAATCATCTTTATTCACTTTAATATTTTGATCTAGTTATTTTTTCTGTGTTTGTCAGGAGTGATTTAAGTCACTGCAAGGTGCTTCTGGTGTGAGAGAATTAGCTGTCTGCAAGGATGTTGCCTAGGGGACACCTGGGTGTTTTGATGTTTTACCATCCTTGTAGGAGGTTTCTCTAATGTTCCCACATGGGAAGCTAGAGCTGAGAGAGGGAGCTCATCCACACACTCCCTGGATTCAAACCTCTGATCAGTTGGTCTCCAGTCCTGACAGCAAAAGGGTTTAACCCACTGCGCCACTGGGGGCTCCTATCTATTTATTAGTTAATAGTAGAATAAATCCTATTCCTAGGAAAATCCAAGCAGAAGCCATATTAATAGATTTGGAGATTTCCTGGAAGAAATACACATGTGTATGCATGTGTGTGTGAAAGCCAGTAAAGTGATTTTAATATTATCCTCCTTGCAAGCTGAGGTGTGTTTGTACATGTCTGTCTGCATGAATGCTGAGATTTGGGCATAAGTGCACTCTCTCATGTGTGTTTCCTCCCCACTGAGCCAACACTGGATATAGCCTTTGGGGCTGAAAATGTTTCATATCTCTAATGCAGATATATAGTGAACTATTTTATTTACTTCTTTTAAACCAGGCTTTGGCTCACCTTCATTTAATAGAATACATAGGAGAACAAACAGCTTTGCTAATAAAGGTATGTTCATGGTTTTTCACTCAATTTTTCACTCCACAATGGGCTTCTATGGTTTTCCATATCTCCTCCAGAATCTGTTACTATTGCGGGAGGCGGGGGTGGGGGGTGGGGATAAAGTACCAAACTTCTGGAAAGCAAATTTTCCATCCCTATTCTAGCCACTTCGAGTTTCCTTTGTGAAGAGCATAAATAAACATAAACATGTATATAATAATAAATAGATTGCTCCCTCTTTTCTCTGTTCAGTTCCCCGTTAACAATAATTTAAAATATCTCCTTTCCCAGTACCCCTTATATTTAGCTGAATAGGACTTGCTTCTGAATAGGCATGAATATGATTGCATTGTAACAGGATTAGAGAAATTCATGGAGGCTTAGTCAGAATGACTATAAGTCATCTTCATATTTATAAATTCTGTACAGGCAGACTAAGGGCCTGTCTACATGGGCCACAAACACTGAAATGGGCCAAAAAGGCACACCTAGACATCTACAAGACATCCAGGGTCTTTCAGCTCCCACTGTGGAATAAAACTGCTTAACACAGCTTTGTCCCATGCTAGGAAAAATTGGGGAATGTTCTGATACTTCTCCCACTTCTTTCCCCTCTCCTTTCTCTAAGTTGTGTGGATTCCTTTGCTGATACCAGCACTCTTTGGAGCTCTGTGGCCATTGCTGCAATGGTAAAGCATGACAAGGGTGGCCATTCCATGGGAATGAATGAGGTTTGGCATGACTGAATGGTCAGGACTCCATCTTGCTGCTGCAGTGAGAGGAAATCAGGCAGTGCAGCCACCATCACGGCTGGTCTGGAGGATTGCCACTCTGGACCAGACCCACATTAAGTGCCCCATGCTTGTAGGGTTTCTGTCTTATGAAGTAGAAGAGGGTTTTTACACTTGCATCTTGCTTATGGGCTTTTAAGTTTAAAAGTTTTCATGGATCTCTCCATGAATCCCAATTTATCATTAATGTACCTCAAGTAAAAGATATTGGCATGTTTTGGTACCATGTGTGCACTTATGGCAGTATGCTTAACCCAAATGTGAAATAGTTATGTGTGAGAACAAAGAAGCAGACCTTAGTGGCTAGATCTGCTACGTTTCCATCTGGAATGGTATTCCTGACACATCCCATTTCACCAGCAGCTGACTCTTCCCCATCATATGTGGAAGTGTTGTCAAGTGGCTTCCCTCCTCAGTAGCCCCCTTGTTCCTAATGGAACACAGAGAGGCTCCCATGTTGACGGCACAATGTTATAGGATGCTGCAACCCCAGTTGAGCTCCGGAACTCCACCAGAAGCGAGTCTACATCATGTGATGGGTGGCATAGGGTTCTGTGGCTCAACTGGAGCAGAAGCATCCTAGGATGCTGAAATTTCCTTGCAATGAAGTCAACAGAAGCTGAAGAGGATGCGTACTCATCAATATTTTCTTTTAGAGGATGTGGTAGATAGATTTCGAACACATCCTAGGTTTGAATAATTGTGATATCAGATTGAGTGGGTAATTGATGCTACTATTTCTAGTGTGGTTTGGTAGAGTGTTTATCGAGAAGATTGTAATAAAATCTTCTTTCACATCAAAGCTTACTCATGTCAGGCAGTTTCTTTTATCTCACCTGTTGTTGCTGTGTGTCTTCAAGTCATTTCCAACTTACATTAACCCTAAAGAGAACCTATCATAAGAGTTTTCTTGGTAAGATTTGTTGAAAAATGGGTTGCCTTTGCTTCCCTCTAGCTATCATACATTGTGAGAAAAAAAGAAACTGAAAGTTAATAAGAGGGATGTAAGGAATTTGAGTATCCATAATATGAATTTATTTTTAAGAGTGTTGATAGTCCTGTGTATTTTGTTCATCTTTCTTTTTTATCTTAGAATTATGAGCAATTTTTAATCCTGTAACTTTATTTTTTGTAGCAGTTTTTGAACCCCTGGATTGATATATGGAGAAACTCTATGCAATATTTGCTCTAGTTGCAGAAAGAATGCTGCATTTGATCATTCAGTTGCAAAATAATACCCTTCAGGAAAAAAGACGGTTCTTATCTAATGGTTGTTTCTTAATGCCAGGTGGTGCCGGAGGACCAGCGTTTGACAGTTGCTATCATTTTAGTCCTTTGGGTATCTGCTCTAGCATCATCTTTAATTGACAATATTCCATTCACTGCTACAATGGTAAGTTGTTTGCCTTTTTTTGCTGTTAAGGACAAGAAGTAAACCTATCATATTAGTGGATACCTTGGCCATTACAGGTTTCCTCCCACATTTTGCAGAACTATTTTTGCCTATTCAGTCCCTTTGTTGCCAAGGAGTCCCCTTTGATAGTGCTCTGAGAAGAGAGATTTTTAAAAAGTTGTAATGTACTGTATACATCTAAAATGCTTTTGATGCCAGCTTGGTGCCTTTCTATTCTGGGCTACCTTGGAAAGTTGTATATAATTGTGCTGACTTTTGGTACTTTTAGTTCTTTCCACCTCAGGCTAAAGATCAGACATGTAGGCTATGCCATCCAAGGAATGCAATATTAGGTGATGGGAGGAAGCAAAAATAAATACTTTTTTAAAAGAGAAGAAACTGTTAAGAGTTTTAAAAGACTACTGCTTTAATAATTGCTAAGAAAGACTAGTTGCTCCATAAAGTCAAAACTGTCGAAACATTAGAACAGTTAAGAGTAATATGTTGTTGGAAGAAGGAAACCAATTTGTATACCTATTAATGATTTGCTGGAGATGTTTTGATACTACAGAAAGATAATTTCACATTGCACGTAGGCACTACGCCATATTTAACGCAAAGGTATAATTGCTTTGTTGAAGAATCTTTCCTGTGTTACAAATAAAAGGTGTGTTGTCTTCCATTATGTAAATCAGATCTTGGGAAACTACTGGGTGAACTATAATTCCAGGTATCCCTAGCTAGTTCAGTTACGTCCATGCGCTTAGAATTTCTGGCATATGTTGTCCAGAAAGTAATGTTTCCAGGCTCAGGGCAAAATGTAATATCAAAAATGACTAGCATATCTTAATTTGACAGGCATGGGTAATAACTGAAAGTTAATTGGACATACATAGGTAATAACTGAAATGCCTCCTTTTTGCTATGTTGTGACTAATGTTGGAGTTGGCCATGTGGGAGAAGTAGGGATGATGCTAGCATTTGATAAATATTGTCTGCCCAAGCATTTTTGAGTTGGAGTGTTGTTTGCCACATCTGCCAAAGTAAAGGTACTCTTCAAATGAAAAAGTGCTTTGACAGTGGCCATAGCTGCAGAAAAAAATCACAAGGAGAACATCTTTGGATCATGTTGACTGTCTCTTTTCAACATGTTCATGAATAGACTTGAAGCAATTGCTGGATCTTTTAGAAGCACCCCAAATAAATTAAACATCAAAGTGCAGTGGCAAGATCAGCTCCGATGGTTCTTTCAGCCAGACACCAAAAATAAAGTTCTGGCATGAACATAACTGCAGCTAGCTTTACAATGCTCTTCTTTCTATTTACAGGTTCACAGTTGGTATTGTACGCTAGGATAAATGTGGCAAATCCCATCAGATGTGATTGAACTTTAATTAAATGTTTTTTAAAATATATTTTCATTGATTTCTTTGAGTTGTTGAGGTTTAAAACCCAACGTATTTGATTAAAATGACTGCTTCTTAGCATCATTAACTTCATAGTCAGGGTGTTCTGCCCCCAGACTGTTATGCAAAAAAAAAAATCATCTTATTCTCAACATGTCCTTAATTTTTAATAAGCCACTATTGTAAGCTGCATATGTTGAGCCATCTGTTTGTAGTTTTTTTTATTACAAGGGCATAGAATTTTTTTACATTGAATTACTCTTTCATGCTTTCTACTCTTAATGCAGTGTAATAAACCATTTTGCCAATTAACCCATCATGCCACATATAGTATGCTATGATTCTGTGACAAAACGGTGTTGTGTGAGAGGAAAGGTTGGTGGCTTAGTGATGTAGTATGCTTGAGATCTCTCTGATATAATTTTTCTTATCATTATATTTTCTTTTGTTTTTACACTACCACCACTACTACTTGAATATTATTTTCACAACCTTAATGACAAAAAATTACTCAGAGCTCACAATAAAACCAGTGCTATATCACCTCTTAATATGGATAGTGCAAACTGCTAATCCAGATAAATGCCAGGATGGCTCCATCAAACATCTTGCAAAGGGAAAAGTCCTTTATAGCCTTTTGAAAATATCCAAGAAACTTACATGTGAGCTTTTCTGAAAAAAGAGTCCCATATCACCAATGCCAACATTAAAAAAACCCATCTCTCCTTTTCAACATGCTATTTGGAGGAATTCTGTCATTTGGTCCATGTTCCACCTTTTCCCAGCTGTTAGGATTGGAACTTGTTTGAAAAAATGAATGATATGCTGTATGAAAGATAGTTTTTTCTGTGAGGAACAGAAATAAATATTTACTATCAGGAGTCTTGAAGAATATTTTGAGTTGGTAGGCTCAGTAATAGCAGGTAGCTTCTTTGTTATGATTTTTTCATGTGTTTTTATATAATAATGCTTCTACATTTTCCAGATTAATTCTAAATTGTGCCAGTAGCTTTTTCAGATATGGTCCCAAGTTCACAATATAATTTCACTTATTGTCGAAGGCTTTCATGGCTGGAATCACTAGGTTCTTGTGGGTTTTTTCGGGCTATAGAGCCATGTTCTAGAGGCATTTCTCCTGACGTTTCGCCTGCATCTATGGCAAGCATCCTCAGAGGTTGTGAGGTCTGTTGGAAGTAGGAAAAATGGGTTTATATATCTGTGGAATGGCTGGGGTGGGGCAAGGAGCTCTTCCCTGCTGCAGTTAGGTGTGAATGTTTAGCTGATCACCTTCATTAGCATTTGAAGGCCTGCCTAGTGCCTGGGGTAATCTTTTGTTGAGAGGTGATTAGATGTGCCTGATTGTTTCTCCTCTGTTGTTGTGCTGTTGTAATTTTAGAGTTTTTTAATAACTGGTAGCCAGATTTTGTTCATTTTCATGGTTTCCTCCTTTCTGTTGAAATTGTCCACATGCTTGTGGATTTCATGGCTTCTCTGTGTAGTCTGACATGGTGGTTGTTAGAGTGGTCCAGCATTTCTGTGTTCTCAAATAATATGATGTGTCCAGGTGGTTCATCAGGTGCTCTGCTATGGCTGACTTCTCTGGTTGAAGTAGTCTGCAGTGCCTTTCATGTTCCTTGATGCGTGTCTGGGCGCTGAGTTTGGTGGTCCCTATGTAGACTTGTCCACAGCTGCATGGTATACGGTAGACTCCTGCAGAGGTGAGAGGATTTCACTTAATTTTGCAGTGGGGACCCATTCATGTTACAGAATTACAGTTACTATAATTTCATTTTAGCAATAGTGGTCCCATCCTATGGAATATTTGGATTGACAGTCGAGGCATTTAGAACTGGTCAGTGAACTCCAGTACTTCATGAAACTACAAATCCCAAGGTTCAGTCAGATGGACCCCAGTCAACTAATGTGGAATGATATAGCTATAATCACATCATTGGAAAGGGTCCCAAGCTAGAAACTACAGTTTGGAAGCAGTATTATATTGCTTTCAGGTGGTGAAAATACATGAAAGAAAAAATACAATTTCATCATAGCTGTTTGTGCCTGTTTGTGCCAATGACAATGGAAATTACATTAACAAAACAGCTACCTAATTGCAGTGTGGCATAGTTAGAGCAGTCACCCCAAAGACCCCAGAGCTCTGTGACTTAGAGATAATCAATTTGTCACATAAATAGAGATTGATAAACTGACATGGAAGGTTGCTACAAGCATTGATATTGTAAGCCTTCCTTATACAAATAGCCACGACAGGCTGCAATTCTCATTTTTGCTCATATGGTAACCCTGGGAAATGAGGGAGCCCTTTTGGATAAAGTGGCCAAATTCCAGTTTAGGAAGGATCTTGTATTCCAGCAGTGGATCAGACTAACGGCATAGGAAAAGTCCATGTGACATTCTTTCCTATTACAAAGTGGAGATCTTGCCAAAGCAATACCTTCTTGAGCATTGGATTCCCTTGGTTTTTTTAAAATAATCAAGCAATGATCAAAGATAATGACAGGAAAAGCTTGTGAACCACATCTGGAATATAAGCCAAAGACTCTCCATCCCTGATGTAAGGGAATGATGATCCCTTAGGATCCATTCCTGTGCTTGACGTCCTCTTTGTGTTTGTATTTGGTGAGGTGACAAGGACTATTGGTCTTCTATGCTTACTATCATCCTCATCATTGTCCCATTAATTCTGCTGAAAATACCCATAAGAATAGATATTTATCTGGGTGCTGCCCTTCTAGGGCAATTGATGTAGTGGGCCTTACTCTAGTTGGGACTAACTAATTGGATTCATGTCCTACATTCCCCATCAGCAACAAAGATTCTAATAGATCCCACCCTATTATGCTGCCTTTCAATTATGAAGGAGTATTCAAATATGTCATCATGTGCTTTTCTGAGTCTCTGTGATCACTGTGAACTGCACTGAGTCCCCTTCAGGGTTGAGAAAGGCAGTATACAAATACTGCAAATAAATAAATAAATAAATAAAGCCCTATGATAGTTTTAAAAGACATAAAATGTTAGCCATCAAATTAATCTTGTTTCTACTTTTATTTTACTGCAACTGGTCAGTAGGGGATCATATATATGTATACAGTCATTATTAATATTTCCATGATTCTTTTAATTTATTCTTTGTAGATCCCTGTGCTTCTCAACCTGAGTCAAGATCCAGAGGTTAACTTACCTGTGAAACCCCTCATCTTTTCCTTGGCCATGGGTGCTTGTCTAGGAGGTAAGCAGCAAATGGTTATCTTATGCAACCCACTCTAGTATCTGAAAACAGAGCTGAAAGTGCCACATCACATTTAGAATCATACAATTTGAACATTGGATTACAAGGGTCTTCTGGCCATTGGTGTAACTGGATGCCAGTGCATGAAATCCCCCCCCCCCCCAATACATCCTTTTTAAAAATGTTTAAGGTTTTTCATTTGAAGGGTATCTGGTATTACCAGGTCATCACTCTTCCGATATGAAGTGCAGTTAGAATTATAACAGATATTTTACCCGTTTATTCTGTTTAAATATTTTCATGCTCTGTTCTGTTCCCACCAGTGACCACGATGTAACTCTGTGAGTGGTAAAAGGCCAATCCCTTCCCCCTTTTCTCCTCTTTTCTTCCATAATATGCTTCCAGATTATCCAGAAACAAAGAAAATATTTGGTTGCTGTGAGTTTTTCGGGTTGTATGGCCATGTTCCAGTAGCATTCTCTCCTATTGTCCATAAATCAGAGATGCGGTCCACATTCCAATCGCCTTATATGCTTTGGACTGCAGTTGTATCCCTGCCCAGGTCTGGCAGTTGTAATTTATAAACAGCCTTCTTCCTTTCTCCCATTGTTGTAAAATGAACGGGAGACTTTTTGCTCCTCCAACTGCATCCTTTCTTCTTCCAAGTAGAAACTAAGGAATAATGAGTAAAAAAAATGAAGCAAAATAGCAAATGGCACTGCAGTTTTACTTGCAGTGTGGGTCTAAGGGCCATGTTTTCTTTTCTGCACCTCTAATTGACAAGAACTTAAGAAAAAGAAAATCTTTGTTAAGGGAAGTGCTGTGACAAAATAAACCCCATTAACTGAAAAAACAAAACACAGAACCAAAGCTGAACAGAAGATAAAAATAGAAACCCCCCCCAGGGGGAAAATCACATCCTTCACATGGGGACTCTTGTTTTTCACCCCTTTTTTGTGCCCTGCTATGGTCTAGCACTGATCCTGAATGTACATGGTGGTGCATATCAGCACATTTCAGTGGACTGGGTTAAGAAAAACATATCTGGGTTTGGTTACGATCTGCTATCAGCAGATGCTGTGGCTACCACCCCAGTCTCAAACCAATTCTTGGGGTGTTTTTGTAGTTGCTCTACAGTATAATTGGTTTCTTTTAATCCACTTCCAAACTGGAGTATAGAGTCCATGTAAAAGTGCCCTAAAATTTCCCAGGTTGCGTATATATGGCCAAAATAAAATGGACTCACTACTCTGCTGCTATGGGGAATCAATATGACATACGTCTGGTTTCCCAGTAGAACTGCTGCATCCAGCCATTAGAACAGATTGATGAAACATGGAATTTATTCTGGAGTCTCCAGGATGCTTCAGAGTGATCCCAGAATTTTGGAAGTGCAGACAGCTGGATCTGTCTGGATCTAGCCTGATCTAGTAGATGTTGACAAAGTTTGTTTCTCTTCTCACTTTGTCCAGCTTATTTCTGTTTCTTCAAACTGAATTCAAAGTGTAGAACTAGTTAGCAGGCAGTTAACTCAGCAAGAAGGAGGAGTTGAGAGGAATGCCTCCCTCCCCATTATGTTCATGAATAAGCAGACTTTCCTAAATTTGTGCACTATTCCTCATTAATACTCTTTTTCAGGTTGACCACATTCCAGCTTTACATGGCTATGCATGTCCTAGTTATCATTTGTAAAATGTTGGTGGGTAGGCAATTTGAAGGCAGCATGAAAAATAAGACCACATAGACAAAAATAATTCATATAATAGTAAGATTTCCTGAACCATGGAAAGTATTGATTCTCAGAATGGGCATTTCAAGTGAGCAAGTATTTACCTCAACTGTATTCTCAGAGAAATCATACGGCATCATAAAAAAAAGAGAATCATTGCTTTTCCTATAAAACTATTGCTGAAATCATCTAAAAACTGATGATTGAACTCAAATCTAACTTCTTAACCAAATAATGTAACACTTTCAACCTCATCTCAAAGGGCTAAAATTGGCAGCATGTGCCGGTTTAGTCCTGGTCACCCACGGAGCACACCAGCCCCCATCAGATGATGCAGACGGAGTTCCATGGATGAAATGGGGCAGAGCCAGTGCATGCAGCCACCATGGCAATACGTGAAACTTCCCATGTTGCCATAGGAATCCATGGTGGGGGCGGGGGGAAGTCGCACAGTTGACTCTTCCCCTCATGGGATGAAAGAAATCTGCAGCAGGGCAATGCAGAGTGTGGGGTGCCAGGTTCCGACAATATGAGACATCTTTGGTGGTCATGTGACAAGGTCATAAGACTTCTTAAACTATGGAAAGTGATGGGAGTGTAGATCCAATGGTTTCAGAGCTAGTGCAGAGTTCTTACCAAAGATAGTGAAAGATAGTCCTGGTACATAACATTATCTGCCCATCCATAAGTCACTTCTATATAGCTTTCTTTTCTCGTGATCATATCTGCCTGGCTTTTATACTGCCATAGTACACATTTTTTTTAGTTACCTCCTTCCTTCCACATGCCTAGGAATCATGATTTCAAAAGGTTGTCAAGTTGGGGACAGAACCCCCTCCCCCTGTACAGAGGAAACCTCATCTTACTATGGTGTGTGCTTAGCAGGGGCAAAAGATAGTATGACAATTTAGGGTTGCTGTGAGTTATTCAGACTGTAAGACCATGTTCCAGTGGAACATGGCCATACAGCCCAAAAAATGCACAGCAATCTAGTGATTCCAACCATGAAAAACTTTGACAACACATCATGACAATTTATTTCAGTCCTGCCATTTCCCTATGCATTCCCTGGAAATAGGGGAGGGGGCAAGAGCAGGGAGAAGATCTGAAGAGATGTAATGTGTATGTGACAAATTGTGAACCTTAGTTCACTTCATCTTCATCCATTTTGGAACAATATTTTCTTCAGACCTCCCTACATCATACACACTTGGAATGTATGGAGAAGCATACTAGTTCTAATGAATGTGCTCCTGTAGCCTTCGGGGGGGGGGGGGGGGGGGGGGGGGGGGGGAGGAGGTTAAGCTTTGAACAATATATTTCCCAGCTTGAGGAAATTGTGTCTAGAATTCTAGAAAAAAGTCTAGAAATCTTCAAATATTGGAGGGGGGATATATTTTGTTGTCAGCCACAAAGTTGTTTCCAATGCAGGATTTTTCCATAGGGAATCTACTACTGCTTTCCTTTGAGGTTGAGATAATGTGACTACTCCAAGGTCACCCAATAGGTTTTAGTGGCCAAGTAGGCATTTGAACCCTATGATTTTTCAAAGCCATAGTCCAATACTCGAACCACTACACCATACTGGCTCTATAGGGGGTTACTTTCCCATAAAAAAACCAACCAACCCACTATAGATACATGCCCTTTCAAAGGACAATAGAAAACAATTCCAAAACCATCTGTGTAGTACAGTCAAGAGCTTTAAACGAATTCTAGTTTGCCTTTTTGGTGGGCTAGTTTGTCTCTGGTGGATGACTGCAAAACCCATTGTAATGGAATTCACTTATTCTGTTGTCGGTTTTAAAACACATTTGCATACAATCCAACCTGACAGAAGGACAGTCCAGATGGTTTTAAATGTGATCATATTCTTTTTGATGATAAGCTAAAGAGATGGAGTGCACCTTTTGTATACTTTATTGCAGTTTCTCACACCGTAGCCACAGCTGATATACATCAACCAATTTTATGAATGGAATTCAAATCCCATTAAAGTCTAAAGCAATTTCAGAAGCTTTTGCTTTGTAATTAGACTCATTCAAGCAGACCTATTTATGATGTCTTACTGTGAAGAAATTCTGCCATTTAAATTGTTGTTAGCTGTGTTATGACAGGAAAGAATCCAGCAGATGCCGTTTGGCAATCGAATAAACTATACCTGTTGATTTGCATGATGTTGTGTAATGGGTCTTCTAGATATGTAAGATTATTGCTGCTACAATCCCATAGATAGCTGACCAGTTATGGAATTATGTTCCAAGACAACTGAGCATAGGTTGAGAAAAGTTACCATGTGTTGTTAAAGGGACATTATTTGTGAATAAAGACTTAGATGTTTATACTAGAACATTTATAGCTTGCTTGGGGAGGGAGAGAGAATTGCATAAGCTAGAGCAGGACCATGGGCTACTTTCACAGCCAAGAAAAAAATTGGACTCTGGGCCATGAAGCGAATAAATTTTTGGATAACTTAAATTCTGCTAAAGGTTTTATTTATTTGATCTTTTTAGATCTTGCTGTTAGCTGGCTAGGTTTTTAGATTAAGTAGATTTATATTCTGCCAACTGTTATGCAAGCAAGGAATCCTACAAAGGAGTGTTGTGGCTGGAGTTTTGTTTGTCATTTATAAAAATAATATAGAACAGCCATCTGCTTGCTCTTTGGTTCTCTTTATGCTGATTATTCTCTTTTATATTCCACAAATATTGGCTATGCATGTTACAAAGAACAAAAACTTGCTAAGACAAAATAAACCCAGAAGCTTTCCTCCTCTTTATTTTTTAAAATCTCAAGTTGGAAATGAACACTTTGTTGATAACGTTATAAGAAAGAATAATTACAAGTAGGTTGTTTTTGCTTAGTGATGTTTAGTTCAATGTTCTTTTTGAACATAACATTATTTATTTTATTTAAAGATTTTTCAGTTAGGAAAAAGCAATACATGAATTTACATTTCTTTAACAGTTTAACAAAAACATAGCCACCAATTTTCACTTGCTTAGGCTTTTAGTGCATGGCAGAGCAAACCAGCATAGAAATACTGTTACCTTCTATATCACATCAGTTTGATATCCATTGCCAGTTTGCCTCCTCCCGATGATAATACTGTACACACTATTGATGGGAAAAACCATCAATAGCCCCAGATTGTGTGATGGTGTCACAGCTTGTTTGAAGGAATGCTATGGAATACCATCTACATATGGCACAGTCCCTATTCTCTGTTCAGAGTTATCAGATATCATAATCTTACAAGTATTTTACAAAT